ATGCACTGCACTCCAGTCTGGGCGACAAAGTGAGACTCCAACTCAAAAAAAAAAAAAAAAAAAAAAAAAATCCTCGAATGGAAAGCAAAATGAAACAAAAAGCCCTTCAGTCTTGCTATTTCACCTACATTCCATATCCTTGGTTACAAAGTAGGAGGGCGCATGGGACACTTGGAGAAAGGTTATTAAAGGATGAACAGAATTTTCTCTGGCTTTAGGGAAATTTAGCCCTGGTTTCTACTTGTCCTTGGGCACTCGGCCGACAGCTTGACAGACCCACTTTCCCTGAAGGATTCATTAAGCAAAAAGGCCCCCATAAACCAGCCTTTACTCTTTGACAGGAGGTCTAAGTTTCACCCCTGAATTTCAACTGACGATGGATAGACATGAAATGGATAAACCCAGAGATTTAGTATTCAGGCCCCTTAGAACTTAGAATCTCTAATTTCAGGATCACCACCCCCCTCTACATTCCAGAAGAAGTGTCTATTTCTCTAATATTGATGTCCTTCTGAAACTCCTAGGTCTCTGTTCCAACTAAATTCCAGAATATAGATACAGGTCAGACCATTTCTCTCTAGTGTTTTGAGGAAAGGTGACAGGCTACAGTGTTGGTGGCCATGTATATACCAAGACCATCAAATGCAGAAGTATTCCCAGGGATAGTCCTTTCTAGCCAAACAGAAAGCAAAAGAGAGTCCAGAATCGATGGAGAAAGAATGTACCTTCCCATTTCAAAAATGTTCTTGTTATGAGCTTTTTCAAATAAATGAGCACACTTTCCTGCTTAATTTTATATTTAGGCTCTTGAATTTTACACCTCCTTGACTGAATGAAAAAGAATATAATATAAAAAGGCTGCTTGGATGAATGTTCATAAAAGACAAGGATTGCTTCTTTGGAAGAATATTATATACAGGCAGGTGGCTATTAAGTAGACTAGTATTTCTCAAACTGTGAGTCATCTCTCATTGATGCTTTCTGAAATGACTCGTGAAATATTTTTTGTGGAATGGAATAGAATGGAGTAGAATGGAATGAAAGAGAATATAAAAGAAAATGCTGGAGTGTATCACATGTCATCAGATTAACTATTATTTGGTGAAACTTGTACCATGGTAGGAGGCCAGAATGATGGCAACTTAACATTTGGAAACATGTACATGTGCTGTTCATATTACTTTGAATTCTTCACTCCATTACAAGACTTCAGAACCATTCAGTAGTAATTGGATTCAGTCTCAGAGTCTTCATAATTTAGACTCAAGATAAAGATCAATCAACTGGGTTGAGCCTTTACAACAATAACAACTTTCCTCCTTTCTGAGGTGTGGAAAGCCAGGAGTGACAAAAACCATCAAGACCCCACAACTTTTTTTTTTTTTTAAGACAGGGATTTATTTATTCAAAACCCATCACAGAAATGGACAGCTTGGGTCTATAACAAAGCATTCATGTTTTAAAGTATAGGTCAGTAGTTGTATATGAGAGCATCCACTGCTACATACAAATTAACTCATCAGACCACAAATTCTCAATGTTTAAAACAGAATCAGCTTCCCTGTAAAAGCAGCCCACCTTTGTGACATTTGAACTTTAGAATTCTTCTCCTTCTTCCTCTCCCTCTCCTTCAACAGAATCCACACCAACCTCCTCATAATCCTTCTCAAGGGCAGCCACATCCTCAAGGGCCTCAAAGAACTCTCCTTCCTCCATCCCCTTACCCACGTGCCAGTGTACAAAGGCACGCTTGGCATACATCAGGTCAAACTTGCGGTCCAGGCAAGCCCAGGCCTCAGCAATGGCTGTGGTATTGCTCAGCCACAGCTCTCTGCACCTTGGCCGGGTCTCTACTAGGCACCACGGTGGGAGGCTGGTAATTAATGCCAACCTTGAAGCCAGTGGGACATCAATCCACAAACTGGATGGTACGCTTGGTCTTGATGGTAGCAATGGCAGCACTGAGGTCTTTGGAAACCACATCAGCACAGCACAACAGGCAACAAGCCATGTATTTACCATGGCAAGGGTCACATTTCACCATCTGGTTGACTGGCTCAAAGCAAGCACTGGTGATCTCTGCTACAGGAAGAGATGTTCAGGGTTATTCAGGGTGGGCTTTCTCAGTAGAGATGACAGGGGCATATGTAGCCAGAGAGAAGTGAATGCGAGGATAGGGTACCAGATTGGTCTGGAATTCTGTCAGGTCAACATTCAGGGTTCCATCAAATCTAAGGGAAGCAGTGATGGAGCACACAATCTGGCCTATCAACCTATTCAGGTTGGTATAGGTTGGGTGCTCAATATCAAAGTTTCTACGACAGATGTTAGAGATGGCCTCATTGTCTACCATGAAGGCACAATCAGAGTGCTCCGGGGTGGTAAGGATGGAGTTGCAGGGCTCAACTACAGCTGTGGAAACCTGGGGGGCTGAGTAAATGGAGAACTCCAGCTTGGACTTCTTGCCATAATCCACAGAGAGACATTCCATCGGCAGGGAGGTGAACCTAGACCCAGCACCCCCACCAAGGCTGTGGAAAACCAAGAAGCCCTGAAGACCTGTGCACTGGTCAACCAGCTTGTGAATTCGGTCCAAGACAAAGCCAATGATCTCCATGCCAATGGTGGAGTTCCCTCAGGCATAGTTGTTGGCAGCATCTTCTTTGCCTGTGATGAGCTGCTCAGGGTGGAAGAGCAGGCAGTAGGTGCCAGTGTGAATTTCATCAATGACCGTGGGTTCCAGGTCTACAAACACTGCCCTGGGCACATGCTTGCCAGCGCCCATCTCACTGAAGAAGGTATTGAAGGAGTCATCTCCTCCCCCAATGGTCTTGTCACTTGGCATCTGGCCATCGGGCTGGATGCCATGTTCCAGACAATAGAGCTCCCAGCAGGCATTGCTGATCTGGACACCAGCCTGGCAGACATGGATGGAGATGCACTCAAGCATGGTTGCTGCTTTGTGGCTTTCAAGCGGATGGTGGAGACGACGAGGAGAGGTTGTTGCTTCTTACAGAGTGACTCTTAGGTGATCGATGTAAGAGAACCTGCCAAGACCCCACACCTTTTAAAGGAATCTCTTCCATAGACATCAGATTTTGACATGATGGGTTGACCCAATGAAGGGTATAAGAGTGTTTTTACTAATATCTTTAAATAACTTTTAAAATAATACTAAATAGGCCAAGCATGGTGACTCATGCCTATAATCTCAGCACTTTGGGAGGCTGAGGCAAGAAGACTGCCTGAGTCCAGCGTTCGAGACCAGCCTGGGCAACTTGGTGAGACCTCATCTCTACAATAAATTTTTTTAAAAATTAGCTTGGTGTTGTGATGCATGTCTGTACTTCCAGCTACTTGGAAGGCTGGGTGGAAGGATCCCCTGAGCCCAGCAGGTCAAGGCCGCGGTGGCTGTGAGCACCCCACTGCATTCCAGCCTGGGTGAAAGAATGAGAATTCGTCTCAAAAAACTAGGTACATAAATAAATAAATTGAAAGTCAGTGTATTTTTCAGTAAATATAACTCAAATCTATTGATAAATATGGATTGAATTTTAAGTCACTTAAAAATAGCTAAAACCATAGAGGTAAATAGCATTCTATTAACATAGTTAACCTCTAGCTTTTTACTCTCCATTATGATTTTGTCAAACCTGGGCATGTATCAATCTGTCTACCTAGCTATCGTTTTATACCTCCTCTTTTCCTGACACAGTATCATACATACTGTGGTTGGTTGAGAAAAAATTATTTTCTGAATGGAAAGACTACATAAGACATATTATATTTATTCCAGTACCCAATTATAGTCTAGTTCATTTATTAAATTTTATTTCCTAAAGCAAATTATTATTAGCTATATAACCTGTCTCCTTAAGGCAACAGAAAGCCATCAATCCAAGCATTTAGTCTTATTTCCACTCAATGAACACCCTGCTGCCTGATTAAGCTGCCTGTAGACTAGTATGTAAGGAACTAAAGAGCATCTTGAATAGAAATTCAACCTCAGAAACAAATATATATACATATATATGGGGTTTTTTGTTTTTTTGAATCAGAGTCTTACTCTGTTGTCCAGGCTGGAGTACAATAACATACTCATGGCCACTGCAGCCTGGACCTGCTGGGCTCAGGTGATCCTTCCACTTCAGCCTTCCAAGTAGCTGGAACTACATGCACATGCCACCATGCCCAGCTAATTCTTTGATTTGTTATAGAGACAAGGTCTCATCATGTTGCCCAGGCTGGTCTCAAACCTGTGGACTCGGGCAATCCTCTTGCCTCCACCTCCCAAAGTGCTAGGATTACAGGTGTGAGCCACTGCGCCCAGCCAAAAATTTATATTTTTAAAAAGACACAATAGTTTTTTCTCTTTTCCAAGGGTTCCATAAAATTCTAGTTATTCTTCTCACCAAAAAATTAAACCACTGTAAATTATCCCAAAGTTTAATGATTAAAAAAACTGAATTTTGTTGCTTTCCTAGAGGAATATTTGAAAGGTCAAAGTATATAGAAAATGATAAGAGAAACTGATCCTTGTTAATCCTTTCTACATTCTCCCTAATTCCAGGCCACCTGCCCCCATATAATAATCTAAATCTTTAGCCAAAAGGAGAAAGGCAAATAGTTGTCAACAATCAAGAACCAATCAGATTTTTCTCTTATGTCATATACCACTGCCACAGGCCGAAAGGGGATTTCTTTGAGTCAATTTCCAAAGATGTAGAGTAAATCAAATATATTTTCAACATTTGCCTCACTGTGGCTTATAACTCAAATCAATAGCTTGCAAAATTTCAAAGCTCTGAAGAAAGTCAGAAAAAGAATGAAACCTGTTTCATTTTATATCTAAGATAACTACATTAATATCAAAGAAATGTAGAAACTATGAAGGACTTGCAACACACAAAAAGGCATTATCTGCTTGTAGACTTTTCTCCCTGTGGTTTATTTCACATCTGCAATCAATCCCAAGATGGCTTATAAATCACTCAGGCTTAATCACGTCACAATCCCCACTCTCACAGACAAGTACAATGCACTTAGGGAACACAAATAATTTTTATTACCTTAATCCAGACATTTAGGAAAAGACTTATCCTACAAAATGTCTTAATTTATTCACTTACTCACACTTATGTAGCACCTGTTATGTGTCAAGCCCTTTGCTGGGGCATGATATGATAAACAAGAATTGTCTTTACCCTCAAAAAGCACAACTAAGTGGAAGACTAAAAACAAATAGAGTCCAAGATCAAATATTGTAAATACCATCAGAATGATATCAACAAAATACTCCAAGAGTCAAAACAAAGGTAGAAATTACCACTAGTAGGTAATCACATAGGGATTTTTTGGGAAGAGACCACATTTGAATTGGGTCTTAAAGAATGAATAGGCCAAGTGCAGTGGCTCATGCCTGTAATCCCAGCACTTTGGGAGGCAGAGGTAAGAGAATTTCCTGAGCCCAGGGGTTTGAGACTAGTCTGGGGCACTTGGCGAAAACTCGTCTCTATGGTAAATAAAAAAAATTAGCCAGGCGTGGTGGCGCATGCCTGTGGTTCCAACTACTTGGAAGGCTGAGGTGGAAGGATCACCTGAGTCCAGCAGGTCGAGGCTGTGGTGGCCATGAGCATGCCACTGCACTCCAGCCTGGGCGACAGCGAGACTCCGACTCAAAAAGAAGAATGAATAGTATTGAGAAAGCAGAGACTGATGATAACTCAAAAAGTGTAAAAAGAAATGACATTTTCCAGAAGGCTAGTATGTATGCCAGCACTGTGCTATGAGCTCTCATTTATGATTTATGATATCTCATCATTTCTCTCTTTCTTTTTTTCTTTCCTTTTTTTTTTCTTTGAGTCAGGGTTTCATTCTGTTGCCCAGGCTGGAGTGCAGTGGCCCAACCTCTTGGGCTCAGTCAATTCTTCAGCTTCAGCCTCCTGAGTAGTTGAGATTACAGGCATGTGCCACCACACTTGGTTAATTTTTTAATTTTTTTTTTTGTAGAGACAAGGTCTCACTATGTTGCCCAGCTGGTTTCGAACTCCTGGGTTCAAGTGATCCTCCTGTTTTAGCTTCCCAAAGTGCTGAGATTACAGGCATGAGCCACCATGCCCAGTCTTGTCATTTCTTTACAATAGGAAAACACAGTGGGATTCAGCTGTAGGATTTAGGAGAGAAGCAAAAAAGCAGGAAAAATGCTTTGGGTGAGAATACAGAGTACCTCCAACACTGAGCCTAGAAAGTTGGATTCTATAGAAGGGAAAGATGGGAAACTACCAAACGTGTTTCTGAATTCAAGAAAGACAGAAAAAAGAAAAAGGAAGGGAAGGAAGGAAATACAGATGAATTAAACCCTTGGTGAAAAAAATATAATAAAAATAAAATAAATTTTAAAAAGAAAAGAAAGAGTAGAAAGAGAAAAAAAGAAAGGTTATTGGGTCATACATATTGTTATGGATAATTGGTATAAATAATTGCCAAGCACATTTAAAATTTTTGTGATGGCTTATGTGGTATCTGTATGCTACAATTCACAAAAAATGTTAAGACTTGGAAGGGTCCTAAAAGGTCACTTATTTCACCTTCTACCCAATTGAATAAATCCCTCTGCATCACCCTAGATGCACTTACACAACAGAGAACTTCCCACTGCTCCCCTGCTATGTGTCAAGCCCTCTGCCAGCGATGGTTACATCTCTTTTCAGCTTGAGAGGTTGGAAAGCATTTCTTTGAGCTAAAATCTCCTTTACAGCTTGGTCCTTTGGTCCCAGATCACACACAAAACAACATTTCCCCACTATTCTAAGACAGGCTTTCTTCACATTTTAACAACTATAAAATCAGAGGGCAACTTACAATCAACTATTTGCTATAACTTTAATAGGCAGCAATTTTTTAGAGGCAAATAAAATAATTATGCATTTTATAACCAGTGGTGTCGCATATACAATAAAAAACAGTAAAATGATATTTTACATAAGCTTAGTCAAATCTTTCTTCAATGGCTAGTATCTTTCCCCTAGTTGACAAATGTCCTCAAAAGTAGAGGCATCAAGCCTAGGTTCTAAAGCCAGACACTCCTCACTCAGCCTAGCAACAGTCTCCCATTCACTAACTGGGTGACACTGACCCGGGTCACACTTCTTGGTATTTCAGTTTCCTCATCTGTGAAATGGGGCTAACACTGATACCTGCCTCATAGGCTTTCTGTGTGTGCACGTCATTGGATATCACATGCAAAGTCCTTTGCATAGTGGTTGACACGCAGTCAGCATTTAGGTATTAGCTGTCGTCATCGTCATCGTCATCATCATCATCATCATCATCATCATCTACCTCTAGATTAAATATTCCTTCTCTACCATCATCCCCCATAAAATATAGCTGTTAAAACTTTTGTCCAGTTCTGAGTTCACTTCAATTTGTCAACATCCTCCTAAAAAATGTTTTGTCTGAAAATGGACACCATATGCTCTCAGTGGTTTGGCTTGTAGCACACAAAGACCATGACTGCCCTTACTTTTGATATTAAATACAGAGCATGGATTGCATCTCCTAGAGATGAAGAAGAATGACTGGAGAATTATTTGAAGAAGAATTTTTACAATTCACATAATTAGGAACTAAAGGTGGAGATCAAATATGAATACCAGAATATTAGAATATCATATCGGGTGAAGACAACAAGGATGGTTCCTGATTCCAGACAGGTGAGAAAGGCTCATTACAAATCCAGATTCTGGGAGAGACATTCACCACACGTCTGCCCTTACTCAACTCCACTGCAACTGCCTGTTCCTATGCTATGGGCTAAATGTTTGTGTCCCTCAAAAATATATGCTAACCTGTTGGGAGGTGGTGGCAAGAGGATTGCCTGAGCCCAGGGGTTCGAGGCCAGTCTGGGTGACATGGAGAGACCTCATCTCTACAATAAATCAAGAAATTAGCCAGGCATGGTGGTGCACACCTTTAGTTCCAACTACTTGGAAGGGTGAGGCAGAAAGATCGCCTAAGCCCAGCAGGTCAAGGATGTAGTGGACGCTAGAGTGCCATTGCACTCCAGCCTGGGCAACAGAGAGAGATTCCCATTCAAAAGAAAAAAGAAAAAAAT